GGAGCTGGAGGGGCTGCCCCGGGAGGCGTGAGGGACACGAAAGCCACGAGCCCGGGCAGCTCCGCCTCTGCTCACACCTTCTGCTGTTAACACTCTGCTAACTCCTAGCTCAGATGAAGAACGCCAACATTCCCATTGAAATCTAGGGCAGCATGGCGGAATGTGCGTTGTTCGTGTGCAAATGTCGAGGGAGGGGATCCTGCCCCTCTGCTCAGCCCTGGTGAGGCCACATCTGGAGTATTGTGTCCAGTTCTGGGCTCCACAGGACAAGAGGGATGTGGAGCTGCTGGAGAGAGTCCAGCGCAGGGCCACAAGGATGATCAGGGGCCTGGAACATCTGCCCTATGAGGAGAGGCTGAGGGAGCTGGGCCTGTTCAGCTGGAGAAGAGAAGGTTGAGAGGGGACCTGAGCAGTGTCTAGAAGTACCTCAAGGGAGGCAGTGAGGAGGATGGGGCGGCCTCTTTTCACTGGTGGCCACCGACAGAACTAGAGGAAACAGCCAGAAACTGAAACACCAAAAGTTCCACAGGAACTTAAGGAACAATTTCTTAACAGGGAGGGTGACAGAGCCCTGGAACAGGCTGCCCAGAGAGGTTGTGGAGTCTCCTTCTCTGGAGATCTTCAATCCCGCTTGGACGCAGCCCTGTGCCACGTGCTCTGGGTGACCCTGCGTGTGCAGGGGGTTGGACTGGATGATCCCTAAGGTCCCTTCCGACCTTCAGCATTCTGTGATTCTACAGTTCAACCCTCGCCTGCCCTCCCGGAGCAGGGAGCAGCCCCGGGCTCGTCGGTGCCACCGCAGCCCGGGCCCGGCAGAGGGGGCTCCAGGAGCGGGAGCTCAGCTCGCTGCACGCAGCGTCGGAGCGGAGCAGGAAGGAGTCACGGAATCCATAAGGTTGGAAGGAACCTCTAGAGATCATCTAGTCCAACCCCCTGCACACGCAGGGTCACCCAGAGCACGGGGCACAGGGCTGCGTCCCAGCGGGTTTGAAGATCTCCAGAGAAGGAGACTCCACAACCTCTCTGGGCAGCCTGTTCCAGCGCTCTGGCACCCTCACTGCCAATACATTTTTCCTTAACTTCCTGTGGAACTGCTGGTGTTTCAGCTCACGGCTGTTTCCTCTCGCTCTGTCGGTGCCATGCGATGTTAACATTTCAGGTAATTCCTTCTGAGCGGACGCTCGGGCCTGTTTGCAGAGCAGCACTAATGAAGGAAGACCTGACCGATACCTGTCACGATCACAGTCACAGGAATCATGGCAAACATGTTCTCTGCGCCTGGGTATTATGGTGGAAGAGTGGAGAGCTGCTGCTTTCAAGCCATTTATTGATCGTTAAGGAATTATATTCTTTTCCTGTGATCCCAGGGCAGGCAAAAAAACCATTCCACGAGTCAGCCGTTCCTTTTTATTAGGAAGGGCAGAGATCCTCTCATGCCGTCTCCTATCCAAAAACCTCTAACAGCATTTTCTTTAAACCGCTCGCTTTCCTGTGCTGACGGCCAGGCTGGTTTTTGCACCAGCTCCCAACTTTTTAAACTAATATCTGCGATTTGCAAGAGTTGTCATCGCCTTTCTCCTGGGACTTAATTAATGCCCAAAGTGGTGGCTTCCAGGTGTATTTTATAGGCTTACCCTTGACAAGGCAGAACAGCTACAGAAACAGCCCCAATTCCTCTCAAAGAGAGGCATTTCAACATCTACCTGGTCCCAAGAAAAGCTGGCAAATCAAAATCCATACCAAGAGGGTTGATATCTCGTTAGATGCTGAGGATGACAGGTTTAGTTCCCCCAGCAGGCTGACCCCTGCTCTAAGAATAGCCACTAATAGGGTTTTTGTTACATTGCCCATAATCCTGTACAGATTACGGAGGTTACAGCTCTGTTAACGCTGAACAGGGAGGACAGACTCCCTTAGGTTTTAAACATGAGTTAAGGAATAGTGATTTGGATTTAGAGTGGATGTTACTTTTCTTTGGGGAAGTAACTAAAGCAGAAAAGATCAAGTTTTCCTCACTTGCAAGGATGACAGATAGGTCTTAGCCTTAATATTTGCTGTTTGGCATTTTAAGTGTCACTTAAGGGTTCTGTATAAACTCATTTCAAGTGGATGCTTGTTTGATTCTTTCTGAAGACACATTTACCTCTAGACAGAAAAAAAACCCCACTGAGCTACATCTAGAAAATATTGCAACCATTTACTGGGAGACTCTGCATATGTAAATGTAAATTCTTGCCTTCCTCCTGAGCCAAGAAAGTTTCTTTGGAAAATTGAAGCACGGATCCTGGGAAAACAATTGAGAAGGATGTAAATAATGTCGTAGGGTAAGACAAACAATTTTTAGAAGGAAAGGATCTTTTCCAAGTACGGATTACTAGAACAAAGTCCTTATATAGCTGAAAAACACTGCAGCATCTTTACAGCAAGTCTTTCCATTGTGGTCATGAAGATTCATCAGCTCTTATTTCAAAGCCCAAGGAACTAGAAAGGAATCCAAAACTATATTAGTCAGACAACAGTTGAAAGACCTAATCTAAATACTCACTGCAGTCAGCAGCCCCGTTACCGAGCTCTAAGGCAAGACCAAGCGTCCAAGTTCAGCCTCCCTGTTCCCTTCCAGGTCCGTCCCAGTTCCAGCAGCCACACCAGAAACTGAGCCTGTAAAGAAAACAGCCTTTAACAGAGGTCACCCACACAAGGGAGAGCTCAGGAGCTAAATGAGTGCCTAACTGCTTGCTCTGCAGTTTGCCTGTATGCAAAAACCCTTAGAGAGCAATTATTTGTATTAACGTAAAAAAATTCCCCCTCTTCCTCACCTTAAAAGTCAAAAACCTGCAGGCAGATAATTACCATTTGTTGTGTGGAAGGAAGAAGTACTATGAAAGACAGCAGAAAACACAAGAGCAAATGATGTTAGTGTATAGATCATATGTAGCAGGTTTAAGAAAGTAAGCGTGGGTGTATTTTAATATTAACCATTCCATTCAAGTTCTTTCATGACTATGTTCCCAATAATGCTCTACTGAGAGTGACTTGCAGCACCTAGAATCAAGTTTTTTTGGGATTCAGTGTAATGAGCAACCCCACACACTTCAGTTTTGCAGAGGTGAGACAACCCTTTTAGCAACAATAAAAGGTTTCATTGTCCTGCGGCAAATTCAAGTAGCTCCCACCGCTGTTTTAACTCAGCACACAGTGAACTGCAGTCAATCTACAAATGTTCTGTTTTTATTACAAAGTATGAAAGGCAGAAAATATTGTACCTAATACACAGGAGGCCGAAACTTAGAAAGAAGGTTAAAAAATCTGAATAAAACTACATAGTAAGCAGGAAATAGCATAAAAGGATGCAACATTCCACTTTCAAGCGATTCCAGAAAATTACCTTAAAATTTACAGAGTTTCAACAATATGGTTCCATGACTCAGATGTTAAAATCCATTATAACAAAACCTTTTGCATATTCTCCATAAAAATAAAGGAATATAGGGACACTGCAGTTAGCCATGTCAACAACATATATGTCAGTTGAACAGCAGGATATCAGGATTCCTCTAGGACAGTATAGTAGCAAAGTTGCAAGTATGGAAGGTGCAGAAAAGAAAAAGGACAGGAGTAAAACTACTATTGCTTTAACATATTTTAGTGAGAACAAGGAGTCAGGAATTTCCTATGGATGTTTGTACAATCATGCTACAAAGATTACACCTTCAGGAAGTTACCACGACGGGACTGTGAATGGGGACAGCAGAAGGGAAAACACACATAAAAGTAAACATCTACTTGGCTACTGATAACAAAAATGCTTCGGTGCAACAGATTTAAATTACATTTTACGCTGCTAGCAACCCAAGGTTTCAATTTTTAAAAAGTTCCTTTTAAATAGTAGATATCATAATTCATATTCACAAAGTTATCAAAAAAAGCCTCGCATTGCTCCACAGCTGTACGACTGACTCTCATTCACCACTTCTTGCATTTCTGCCTGTTCGGGTCAGGCAGAGCAACCCCCATCTCTCATGGAAGAGACTTGGGATTTGCATGTTTTATAATCAGGAAAGCAAATTCTAGGAGATGCTGATTTGTGAGTATGAACAAGAGCTGGAAACAGGCTTGCAGCTAGGCTGCAATATTTGTCGGGAAATAATCAGCTTATTTCCTTTGTTAGATTTTCTGAAAGGGAATAAACTCCAAGGGAAGCCAGACAGAACGTTCTCTGCTGAGTACAGAGGTTCCAGCTCGATCCTCACTAGAAGGGGCTTTGTAAACAGTGATTTTCTGCAGTCAGACAGAGGCGAGCAGGTCTCAGAGGTGCTCGTGCCTCTAGGGCTGCCCTGCTTGCCGGAGGAGCGCTCAGGGCTGGGCTCCAGCTGCGGTTTTAGCTCCTGCTTCTCGGTGCTGGCACAAGCTGCTCATCCAAGGATCCGCAAACCCCTTCCCGAGGGAAGGCCCTGGTGCACTGAACTCCTCTCAGTATCCTTGGTAAGGAAACATTGCTGACTTCTCTAGGGTAAGCAGGGGGAAAAAATACATAGCTGCATCTCTAAGCGAGCATGAAAAAGTGCTCTTTAAGTGCTGCGTACAAGGAATTCCTTGGATTCTCTGCAAGGATTGAGAAAACCAGGGACACAGTTAACAGGACCTTGCCCATTCCAGAACAGTTTGGATGCCTCATTTTAATGTCCACTGGACAATATATTGGGTCTGGAAAACCACCTGACAGTAAAAAGTAGTAAATATGTATCTGAACGCGTGTGTTAATGCTAGGACTAACATGATTGGGTGGAGGCAACAGAAGCACGTTGCTAACGAGCAACAGGAAGACTAAACCCATCAGTATCTTGATGGGCCCATTCCTGTGCATAGAGATATATCCATACAGCCAGCCAACTGTTACTGCCTTCATTTCCAAAAGGAGGAAAAGATGATTCTCAAACCCAGCCAAACTCCTAAGCAAAGCAAAGGGACTCTGTGAGGTGACAAGCAGCACCATGGCACTTGGGCTGGCCTTGCAGGACTCGTATTTGCAGAACACAGAGCTTCAGGCTATAATATTAACAGCTGTCAACAAGTGCTCACATCGCTGGTGTTCACTAGGAACAGATGAGGGTCCCCTGAACACCGTCACTCACTGCAGGTTTAGGATTTCATAGTGTCTGTATTTAACTATTTGTATAGAGACAAATGTCTACCATAAAAAGGCTGAGGAAGAGATGACTCTTCCAAGCCTTACAAACATGTACTCGCTAAAGTGCCATCTGTAAGGGAACAAAACAGACACTCGGCTTTCTTAATTTACATTTAAAATAAGTGCAAGAGCATCTGCATCCAATATATTAGGCAGTGATCTACAGTTGAGACTGATGTGCCTTCCTCATTGTGACACCAGGAAAAAAATAGATCTTTTTTACTATTATCCAGAACATTGAGGAGACCAATTACAGCTACGTTTTGAAAGGATCATTAATTTTGACTTATGAGAGGCAATGCCTCCCCCTTTCAGTACATTTCAAGGTTCCATAAGGAACAACCTGTATCATCAGTCTTTCAATCCATCCTCTGAAACCTCTTTCTAAATAGATTGTCAAAGCACTCAACTCCTTGCCCATTAAATCTCTGCAGACAGAGCTACCAGTCCAGTAGATGCCACCAATACGGGTCATTTTGTTTAGACATCTACAGAGTTAACATACTAACACACTAATTCAGCATTCATTTTTTTTTTCTTGTAGCTTCACTTCAATAATGAGTTTTACATGGCCAGGATCTTCTGCTTGCTTGTGAGCCAAAGCAACAGCTTGTCCACGTAACAGGCACCATCCAGCAGAAGCTCAGCTTAAACAACAAAACAACCAAATGATTGGTTAGTATCTGGAAATAATCAACTGGGAAAGTGATACAGAAACAATTGTTTCCATAAACGTTGGGGAAAAATATTCTCGCACTCTACCTATTTCACCCAACATAATTAAATGTTAAGCTGGTGAAATACAATCAACTATTTCTTCTGATTCGTAGGCAACTGTGACAAATCGAGGTTTTATTTTTTCCTTGCGGGGGAACTCAAACCTGCAAGCAGGGTTTGTTCCCTACCACCGTGTCAGAAGGTGCTGGCAAAAGGCCCCCAAAGTCTCTTGCTCTCTGCCTGTACGGAGGTGTCATCTGCACTACAGAACATCTCCCCCATGGGGCTTTTCATGGGTTTTCAGTCATTAGCTTCCAAGTTCTTCTTTGAAGAGAAGCTATTTTAAGCAGCATTTCCCTGTTCCAAAACAGCCTCTAGTGATTTCAAATGAAATTTCATAAGAAGAATGACAAGCCTATGCGCAAAGCAACATGTTATTGATCCAGAAGGTAGCCCAACTGGCTAAATAAACAAGATAGGGGCTTTATTTAGAAGCCACTGGAGCCTTCAAAACTTCTTCACTTCCCTTTGAAGGGCCAGGGATCAGATCCTAAACCCACAAGGGAACTTCAAGTGATTCTGTGAGCAGGAGGGACTCACACTGGATCCTTTTCGGGTTCACACAGAACCACCTTCTCATGGCAGCAAAAGCTACCTTTTTATTCAGACTATTAGCTCCTTCATACAGGCTCTTTCCGTTCATCATCTTGAAATAACAGATTGTGTTTGCCATTAGGTATAGCCTAACAGAGTCTTGTAGTGACTCACCTTCCAAATAAATTAGCTTATGTATTTTTTAAAGCACAGTTCTACACTACTGCAGAAGAAAAGTGTTTTGGCTGGCAGCAGAAGCAAACATCTTAACTCCTATTTTCACCCTGTAAGAAGGTCACTGACAATGCAGGAGCTTGAACTGTATTACAGTCTCACTTGGCTGATAAAAAGGGGTAACATAAAAGAACTGTCACTACTCAAGTCCAATCATTTCTCAAGACCCATCATTTTCAATGTGTCCAGAATGACAAAGCTTTTTTTTCCTCAGGTTCTGCTCTGTATTTGGCAGTGGTCTCAGTGTCAGCTTCACCAGTTCACAGCAATTGCTTTTCCCAACTTGCCTTCCCTGCATAAACTGAAAAAAAAAAGAAAAAAAAAAAAAGAGATACAGTCCCACTATTTCTAAGGCTGCCTCTATTTGTAGGTGGATACTCACTAGATTGAAAGACAACTTTGATAGTTCCTTACTTTTGCATCAAAACCCAGTGCAGCTACGGTTGTCATGTCTTCATTGGGAGAGCACCGTGGACCATTAGCCTGAACAACTAGGTTACACTGAGACTTCCTTAAAGGTTTTTAGTTTGCCTTTGCCACTCGGCTTTCATTGCTAAATACTGCTGTAGAAAAATTCACTATTCAAAACAGAAGCAATAGCCCTAGGTTTCATCCCAAAAGACATGAAAGTGATGAGTACCAAACCATAGCCTTGATGGCAGAGCTCTTTTTCAGTTTAAACCCACCTTTGTGCATTACATTAGGGAATCATTTCTGTTAGAGAAACAGCTTTCATTTGGAGAGTACACCAGCTTTTCCAAGACATCTCACTCACTCAACAAGCTCTGACAGCACAAAGCAAATACACTTAGGAAGAAGATTGCTCTGGGCACCTTTCAAGAACTCCTAGGAACACAAACCAAATGCAAAGTAGCACCAAAATACAGGTTAACAACAAAATCTTGCTCGGGTTATTTGCCAATCAAGCAAGGTACAAAGTGTGAAACCGTTTTATTTTAGTTGAGATAGTAAGTCTAAGGGGAAATCATTTGATTGGAAATGTCAATCCAAAGTCCATTACAAATCACCTTTTCCAGAAGTCAGTTATCTCACAGATGGCTCAAGTCATGCACGTATCATCTTTCTGAAACCTATTACCACTCTGTTACCTACCACAACTTCAGGAGAGACACAGTAAATTGAGTTATAATTTAAAAACAAGGCCTACCATCTTAACAATTGCCTATAGCATCAGAAAAGTCTAAAGAAATTGTGCAACAAGTACTTGTACTTCACAGCACCAGGTAACCAGGTGTAGAGAGCCAAGGCAACAGTTCATTCTGGCAGGCCTTTCCTGCCAGGGAGCCAACAGTGTTACTGTGATTTCTACCTACGAACAGGATCCTGCTTTGGGCATATGGAAGTGGATCACATATCAAAAGTAAGAATTAGGGAGAAAAGCCTTACTCAATAGAAAGTTAGCCCAATATATAAAAAACATACAAATGTTTAAACAGTTTAGAGGCAGAAACAACAGGAACAATAAAGATTCCTGCCAAGGTGGCTGTTAACAACAGTGTCTTTACCCCACCGTGTTTTGCACTTAGCTATTAAACTAGTTGAATGTGTTACCTCAGCTGGCTGACAAACACATGGACATATGCAGCAACTTAAAGCCTGCAAGCTTATTAACACAGTCAACAAACAAATATACAGAACTTTTTAACTGAGGGGAAAAAAAAGTAAAACCAGAACCCAGAAGGTCCAAGAGGCTCAGCATGTCTCTGCATTTTAGAGTCTTGGAGCAGCAGGAAACACCTGCCATTAATTCTCGTAACAGTTTCTTGGAACAGTAGATGCAAAGCAACAACAGATACTGGCCACTTGACTTGTGTTGTTCTTACTTTAGAGGGGAGGGGAAATAATACAGCCCTGCCTCGATGTGGCATGAAGCAGTAATGTTAGACTCTCAAAATCTCCAGGCAGTTGTTGTAGCAGATAGCTATCCAGTCTGGCTGAGTCGATGCCCACTGTACATTGTTGATTTCTCCCTCTGCTGTATAGGCCAAGATAGGGTCCTCAATGGCACGAGGCATTTGCTGGATGTCCCAGATGAGAGCCTGATGGTCGTCCGCTGCGAATGGACAAGAACATCAGAAAGAGAATAAAAGCTATTACAAGATCTCCATTTATGACTACTGATAACAGTATATTCCGAGAAGCCAGATAGTAAATAGCTTCTAAATTGCAGGTGTTCCTTAGCAAAAGGCAGGACATAAAAACTGCATGAATATTTGGAGAGAGAGAGAGAGAGAGAGCAGACTTTGCAGATGTAATGGAAGTCTCCCAGACTTTCACACACACAGAAGGCTAGAAGCTCTTTCCATGCCTACCTGCTGTGCAAATATGGCAGGAAGAATGAGGTGCCCAAGCAATTCCATTTACACACGCTCTGTGGTTGTTTAACCTTGCAACGGGAGTGCAGGGAACTCTGACGTCCAGAATCACAACCTTCAGAAAACACAAACAAATCCACAATTACAAACTTGATTTTCTTTTACTTTCTCCTTCAGAAAACAACATTTTGACCCTATATGAATACACCTCACTCCTAAGAGACGCCTTTGGGAAGCAAACACTGTTCTCAAAGAGCTGGTCAGACTTCACAGGCAAGGGCCAGAGAGTTACACAACAGGCCAGGTGAGTTATATGTCCCTGAAGCTGTGCAGGTGACACACCAAGATTCACCAGCTTGTGCACCGAAGTGAGTGAGAACCACGCGACTAAAACATTTACGCTTAAGATTTCATATAAAGTCTACCTTAAGAAAATAATCACCTGGAATATACAGGAGTTGTGCAGATCTGCAAGTTTATAATGCCCACGTTACCTCGATCCCCTCCCTGAGCAGTGCAATGAGAACCGGTCTTTGCCACGCTCCACTTCAGGCACTGACACAGGATCCCCCTGCCCCAAAGCCCCCCTTCCTTCAAGGGCTGAGGAGTGGCAGGTGCCTCACCTCCATGCCATCCATGGCCATCGTGGCAAGGTAGTTGGGATCCTGCTTGTTCCAGCAGAGCCGCAGCAGCGGGTGGTGCTGGGGGTCCTCGTAAATGATGGTGCTGTGTTCCAGGTGACGGAGATCGAACATCCTCACGGAGCCGTCCGCACCAACGGACGCGAACATGTCCCTCCCGCCACCCGCGCGGCTGAACGCGATGTCATACACCTGCTCGAAATTGGGACACACACAAACAAAACCTCCGGTTTAACGAGCAGGAAACCAGATTGTGCATGGGAATAGCAAGCTATTAATGCTTTGAATTCTACTACTCTTTCTATTCTACTACTGCTTTTAATTCTACTTTAATTAAGCTATTAATTCTACGTCAGCTACTCAACTTCCCTAGCAGGTTTTAGTCACTACAATAACCTTGAGGCGGGGAACAGACCAGACCACTAATGGGTTATGCCATAGGATCATTCACTGAAACTGAACATTAAACTTTCCTTGACTCTTTTATTTTAATGGCTCAAAAGTATTGCCGTACCAAAACAAAGCCATCCTCTAAGTTGCTTATTGCCTTTGATAAACAGTTAATTTCAATTCCAGTTTGATATTTTATCTAATGTTTCTAAAATATTCTGGAACATAATCTAATAAAAGAGCAGGTTCTCAAATCTGAATTCTATAATGAGTAAACGGGGTAATTTTGATCGCCAGCACTATGGTTTTAATTTGGTCTCCAAAACTATACATGTTTGAGAAATATAAGCTTCTTTGGTTTTATTTTAGTTTGGTTTTTAAAAGAAAAAGGGTTGAAAACAGCAAAACTCTTTTCCTTTTCTACTACTTTAAAATACACAATGTAAACAACCATAAAAAGTCATCACCTCTTTGTCATGTGCAATGAGTTGTGTCTTAACATGGCCAGAGACCAGATTTACTCTTCCCAGAACCTGTCCTGTTTCCAGACCCCAAATAGTGCAGGTTGTATCAATACTAGAGGTACCTACAACAAAAATAATTGTTAGCAATATTATTCCCGCAGATTTGACAATCACTCACTGGATTGCTCTATTATCCTCTGACGCCTACAGATCAAAATAGCTACAAGAACAGCATGCAATTAAAATCAAGAATGTCAAAACAACCAACAATCTCCCAATACATTTCAGCAACCCCAACTTTTTAGCTGCAGAAAGTCTTC